TGAAATAAGTAAGAGTGACATATTATGCCATTCATTGTTGAAATCATCAAAAATAGACCTGAGATGTATGCTTTTCAAATCTACCAGCAAAAAGAGTACCAAGTCCTGAGACTTGGGTTAATTCTAAGTATAGGCCATGCCATATCTTATCTAGAGAGAGTGTCAACAACATCACTGGATTAGACCATCATCAGAGAACATAAGGCCACCTTTCTTCTGTCTGTCAAACCATGATATTAAACATAATCAGCTAAGAAATTGCTAATGAAGGAGCTTGAGATACAAAAGGTAATATTAGCAATAACAGTCACATCTTTCTGTTGTGAAAGAGATGAGACAATAATGACTTCTCCATGAATATACTAATTTTCAAATAACAGTCACCTGTTAGACCCACTGCCAATGTTTGAGATTGCATAAGGATCCAGTGAATAATGGTCGCTTGTAGATTGTCCATCCTGCTCATCCTGGTCGTAATAATTGACTGGGAGAAGTATTACTAACCCAACCACAGAGCAAACTGTGAAGAAGTTGATACTGCAAAACACATAAAGGAAATCACTGCCAACAAAACTGATATATAAACCATCTCTAATATGTTGGAACCATATCATCAGGCAAAAACTAAAAACAAAATATGATGTCGTTTTAGAAGATACTACTAGCCATAGACAACCCTTATATGTATAAAAACCTGAAAAAGGTAACAAAACTGATATATATATATATATAAGTTTAAGAATATATTAAAGTTGTTAAAACTTATAGAAGATGGCCATAGACAACCCTTACATACTCCTAGCCATAACAACCCTTAATTGTAGAAGTTCAATAAACTTCTAGATGTTAAACTTTTACATTAACTTCAGATTCCAAGCACAAAACCTGAAAAAGAATTTGGGCCTCCACAACTCCATAGCATATCATGCTACTAAATGCTGATTAAGAAAAAGATAAAAGAAGGTTCAAAACTGAATTAGGGGAAGGAGAAAATATGTAATTGTTAACGTTAGAAATCTAAAGGAAAATACTCATAACACATTGGTTCCGTAGATCAAACACCATGTTGTCAATCGTATTGTGAGTAACAGGCCAGTAAGTTCATATAATACTTCCCCATTAATAAACTCCAAAACCCAGAAAGTTATACCGGAAATTATGTGACCTGCAGAGCGCAAAAGATTCAAAAGGAAAAGAAAAGAAGAAAATGCATGAATATAAAATACCCAAACTTGAAGAGCCTGATGACGACAAGGGCATCAAGGCCGTTGGATTGGAGGATTTGATCGTCGGAGACACGAAAGACGTGAGGGATCCAAGAAAGAGAAGGGAGAAAACGAGAAAAGGAGAAAGAGTGATGTACAGGCAAAGGCTGTCGTTTGGCGAGGAGACGAGCGTAGTAGATGGGAGCATTAGAGGGTTGCTTCTTTAAGATGGAGAATAACCAGAGACCCACTAAGGCTAGGCCTATATTGATGGTAGCAGAGGCAACAAGACTTTCTGGTTTCATTTTCTCATCAACCAAACAGAAGAAATAGCAGAAAACTCAGAGAAAGAGACAGAGACAGAGACAGAGACAGAACCAGAGAGTAGGAAATTTGGAGGTGTTACCTTGAAAGTTGAAAGCCGAAGAGAAGCAGAGAGTGCCAGGTCGAGTAGTACGTGGCGGAGTTGCATGTAAGAGAGAGAGAGAGTTAGATTATATGTATCTGTAGAGAGAGAGTTGGCCTTTCCTCATCCGGACCAAAAACCCGGATCGCGGTCCAACCGAACCTGAAACCGGCACGACGGTCCAACTGGACCGGAAATTATCATATTAAGAATTTTAAATATATTTACTACAAAAAATTACTATAAGATATCAAATATAATATTTACAGTAAACCGGTACGGGATTTAATTATAATTGATTCCAAACACCCTCTTAATTTTGGGCTTCTTAACTTCTTCCCCGAGCCCTTCGTCTCCACAGTGCCTGTCTGTAAACCCTTCTTCATCCTCTACTCTGAACACTCCTCTTCCGTCGTCTATCTCTCTCTTCCAACATCATACGGCCGTATCCCTCGAGCTCCAGATCTCCTTCATTGGCTTATACTCATCGCTCGCACTTCTGCTCCCTCTGCTTGGCTTTCCAAAACCCTAACACTGAAACTGCGTGTTACCTCTTCGTCTCTGCAAACACGCAGATGCACCCTCCCTGAAATCGTAAGGCCCTGTATTTAGAAGCTGTATTATATTTCAACGAAAAAATGTTGAGAAGGAACATTCGGCTGAGGAGGGAGTATCTGTACAGGAAGAGCTTAGAAGGAAAAGAACGTTTGCTTTATGAGAAGAAGCGAAAAATAAGAGAAGCTCTTCAAGGTTAAAATTTTGTTTTCCAATAAGAACTTGGTGGTTTTCTAATTATTTTATCCTTAATTAATTTCTTAATTTTAATTCTTTTTATCTAAAAAAATTCTGATTCTCTTCACAGAGGGAAAGCCCATTCCAACGGAGCTCCGAAACGAGGAAGCTGCCCTTCGCCAAGAAATCGATCTCGAAGACGAGAATACCACTGGTATGCTTTGTGCTGAATGATGCATAGACAGTGTAATATAAAATTTAATGACATTTTATTTGTTTTATGTGATTTCCCTTGTATTTTCTATATTTTTGGCAACGTTAGAGTTTGTCCAAGCTTAGAAGAGTTGTTTTGAATTTGCGGTAAGTTTCAGTTGATTTCGTTGGGATAGTTAAGGTAGTTCAGAGTTTAGATTCTGTCTACTTGTAGCTTAGAAAGTGTTGGATTAGGAATTAAGAACATTAAAGAAGTGGAGCTTCATCATTATCTCACCATTAATTCGAAGATACTGGTTTTGAAGTGATGATTATTGCAGTTCATTGGAATCATTTGTGCTTGGCTGTCTATGTTTGCAAATTATGATGAGGATGAATGTCTTGGTTCGATTTGATAATACATGTTTAGTTAAAAAGGGCTGCATGATATAAAACCAGATTCTCTCATTTTGAATACGTGATTATGATGTTAATTTAGCTGGTTTCATGAGATATTGTGTTTTGAACTCTGAGTTGTGAGCTTCTCTTATACTAGCATTAGATTGCAGTTAAATCTGTATTTCTTCTTCATTTTTTTTTTTCTCTCTGTTCTCCCTTTTTTAAGCTAAATGCATGTAAGTCCATGTTGTTTGCTGATCTTGCTAACTTTTCTGTGGCGTAATCTTTGCTTAAATTAGTTCCAAGGACTCATATTGATGATGAATATGCAAATGCAACTGAAAGAGATCCAAAGATTTTGTTAACTACATCCAGGAATCCAAGTGCACCCCTCACACAGTTTGTAAAGGTCGGTCTAGCAGTAGTTCACTTTAGTTCATAAACCCACTGTTTTCCTAAGTTTCTTTGAATGGGTATGTGCTTAAGTTTCTTTTAATATGATCATAATGGATCATTGTTGCAGGAATTGAAGTTTGTCTTCCCTAATGCACAAAGAATAAATCGTGGTAGCCAGGTCTGTATGTCTAGTAATCCTTTTTTTTCCCTTCTGTATTGAGGCTTTATGTAAAATTTCAATTTGGTGACACATAGCAGTAAAAACTGTTAAGTTGGTTTAATTCTATCACTTGCTAACCTAGTGCATGGTTAGTTATATTTTTATTATTGCATCTCGTGTACAGTGTAAACTTTATGATTATCATGGAAGATTGTTTTGCACTTATCAAAGAAGGGGTAAATTGATTCTGGTGGAAATGTAGCAAAATTCTCGACAACTACCATCTGATGCCTTTCCTGAATTAATTTCCTTCTTTGCAGGTCATTTCTGAAATTATAGAAACTGCCCGTGCACATGAGTTTACAGATGTTGTTTTGGTTCATGAACATCGTGGTGTGCCTGATGGTTTAATTATAAGTCACCTACCATTTGGTCCAACTGCTTACTTCGGTTTACTCAATGTGGTATGTATTTGACCTTTCTTCCTCTTTATGAACATTTATTTCCCTTGTCTACTTTTTGGGGCCTGAATATTTTGTTCTTGCATTTCATTGTAGGTTACAAGACATGATATCAAGGACAAGAAAGCCATTGGAACGATGCCTGAGGCGTATCCTCATCTTATTCTTAACAACTTCACAACCAAGGTATCTTCATCTCTAGACTAATGCCAGTCTATCTAATCGAACGTTATAAAATCTGAGGATGGTTGCATTCAAAGCAAGTCTGATAACCGTTAAATTAGGGTTGCAATTATATTTCTGGAAGTCCTAGGCTTGTCTGTAATTTAAAAGTAACATGTGTTTTACTTAAGCGCACAAACTAGCTAAGTCGAGCTTTGCCCAAATTTGAATTTGTTTTATATTTTGATAGTGAGCATGAGCTTGCAAAAAGTCTTGAAGTTGTTGTTTGAACTTGGCTGCATAATTGCTCTTGAGCTCAGCTTGTTAATGCTAAATCATTGTCAAGTTTAAACTTGATCACTTCTGAAGCTTAACTATTTGAAGTGTACGTATGATCCAATTCAGCTCTTGTTTATTTGATGCTTGCTTTTGGCCTTCATTATTTTCTACTCTTGTCTTGTAAAGTTTGGTTAGAAGCAGCTGGTTCATTTGAAGCCCTATGTCTATTTTGTAAAATGGTTATTCAAAGAGTGTTACTATTAGAAATGCAGTAGAAATCTAGAACTTTATAGGTTTTGGTGTCACTAATTATTACGTTAACACGGTAGTTTTCAATAGGGAGTTTAATTTGTAGTTATTATTTTGTATTAGAAAAGTTCTTGTATTTTTTTTTTCTCCCTGCTTCAGTTATCTTTTGTGGCTGACTTTACTCCTATATTACAATGGAATCCGGGGTTTGATTTATCAATACTATTGGATTATGATATTTTTGCAAATTGTTTGTATGTCTCTATTATTATTGAAACTTTCCAACATTGTTTTCATGTTATTCATTCGTTACTTTCCTGGATTCTGTAGCTTGGTGAAAGGACAGCAAATATTCTAAAGCATCTCTTTCCAGTTCCAAAGCCAGATACAAAACGGATCATTACCTTCGCTAATCAGTCCGACTACATTTCATTCAGGTTCTCACTTGAGTCTGATGTCTTTTTCAATAGAGTTACTACTCTACCTCTAAAACTGACAACGCCTGTGTTTCTTTCATAATTTTCATACATTCTGCTTATTTCCATTTGACTTCTGGTTGTTTGGTATTATTTATGTTGAATTAATTTCCTTTCCTGATCTTTCCTAAAAAGAAGCTGTTATCTTCTAGATTGAGTGTTTATGGTTTCTTTCCCCTAATCAATAACTTGTACATGTACAGGCATCATATCTATGAGAAGCATGGAGGTCCTAAATCACTTGAGCTGAAAGAGATTGGACCTCGATTTGAATTGAGGCTTTATCAGGTATTAATCAAAGCAACTTAAATTCAAAGACAGTTCTACATAATAGCATTACTATTTGAAGCTTGATGTCTATTTATAGCTTAACTTTGGTTTCTGCAATGAAGATTTGGAAATAATCTAGCTTGATTATTATAGTGAGAGTATAGGTCCCCAAAAACCAACTGTCCCAATCTCGTAATGTTGGAATTTCCTTTTTCCTCTTAAAAAGTCACGGGTGGAAATAATGATTGCTTTCTGCTCCCATGTTTTATCTTTTTGATTTGCAGGTAAAGTTAGGAGCAGTTGACCAGACTGAAGCTCAGATCGAATGGGTTATCCGGCCATACATGAACACTTCAAAGAAAAAAAAGTATATTGGGGAATAACACGATAGTTAAAAAGCCGATACCAATGGTTTTCGGGGAGGCGTTTCTTATTACATTTAAGAAATGTCATTTAAGAAATTTTGTTTTAAATTTGCTCAAAGTCAGTCTCCTTAATTTAATTACGGAATATTTGCTGCTATTATTATCCATGTTACTTGTGAGATGTAAGTATAATAGTAAGGGAAGAACCTGGGTGAGCAAATGCTGAGGTCATGCATTTTTTTTTTTTTTTCTTGTAGGGTAGTTTGCTTTATTGTTTCTTCCACATAATAGAAGTCTGGGGAGGGAAAATAGTTTTCAGGGTGGAAATTTTTTCTCTTTGTTTTCACTTTTGAATGAAAAAGTTTTTGTGGATGATCATGGATGAAAGTCAACTTAAAGCTCATCATCTGCTTGCCAAGTTCTTTATTCACAATGGAATACATATATATACATATATATATATATATATATGTGCGCACACACACACACACAAAACAGGAATATTTGAAATGTATACCATATCTTTTTTTTCATAAAGTTTTATTAAGTTTTTTTCATAATTTTACCACAGCTAAAGGATTAGGTTATTTATCTTCAAAAATTTATGGAACAGATCATTATTATACACAAACTTATATATGATTTTACATGATTTTTTTAATGTAATAATTCAAATTTGCTCCAACGAGTGAAGAAGAATGAGATTCTGTTCCTACCATAAAACTCAAATCCATTCTTTCCAAAAACATTTGGTTTGAAATAAATAATAAAGTTCCAAAATATTTATTATTATTATTATTAAATTTCGTTCTATTTTCAAAATATGTGAGAAATTTTCAAAAAAATTTATACCACCGAAGAGCTCTTGGTAAATTATGTGTGTGTGTATGTGTGTAAATATATATATATATATATATATATATATATTATGAATTGTTTAGTTGAAAATAATTATAGACATTAAATTTGGTGATGGCATTTGTTATCTCCTCATGACCCATTTCATGTTTTTGGCGTTTTCACTTGAAATGTTTGAAGGAAATGGATGGTAGGAGTTGGATCATGCTAATTTTATGTACTGAGAGATTTTTAAGGCAAATTAATATGCTTCCATTACATATACTATATAATATCACAGGCAGAATTTACAACTTCCTCTGTGAATTTTTTTTTTTTTATCTTTTAGCTCTTGAATATTAAAGGAAAAATGGAGGGAGGATATT